TGCTTAGACTCCTGCCCTCACGACCCGGTCCCGGATAAGCGGAGGAAAATGGATGGATGGATGGATGCCGTAGGCAATCATTATTGTCTCCACTTAAACAAGCAGTATGTACTCACAGTTGTCTTTGAGACCCAAAGCCATAATACAAATCAGCTTGAACAAATTGTCATTAATAATTGAGGTGCTTGAATAGACTGATGTCAGACTGGAGAAGTGAGATCTACAGTATCTTCTAAATGTGCAAAAAGCATTGTGGATTCATATTTAAAATAGTTCATGTATAGTATTATTTTGATGTTAAAATCAACTCTATAATAATTTTAAAATATAAGTTTTCTTGTGCTCATCTCCACACCTAAACAGACCTTCAACCTCGGTCCATCCTGCCTGACAAAAGGTGCCAGTGATGGTGGTGGGGGGAACATGCCAAGGAGGTGCCCCCCCTCCTCCTCTCTCTCCCACTGTACCCACCCTCCAGAACCATTTGGACCACAGGCAATGGGTTAATCACATTAGAGGCCCAGAAGAGAGATGGGAAGTAGACAGTACCGTGACAGCCGGGGTAGCACTGGCACGACTAATCCCGTTAGGCCGAGGAAAAAGGGGGACGCCATCGCGCCTACAGCGCTAAGAAGAAAAAAACATTTTCCCAAGAATGAGTTCACCTGTATGGTAACACAGAGAAGTTGGCCTATTGATGCCTATTAGAAGAAACAATTGCACTTGGCACATACTAATGTTTTTTCATGCTGGGCACCATTTTATTGTCAGCGCCTGAAGAAAAAAAAAAAAAAAAAGAGGAAAAAAAAAATCAGCAGCAGACAGTGGCATTGCATGAGATCCTCTTTCATGCCACAGTGTAGCAGCCCCCTTTCAACCCAGTGCCATCAGCCTCCCAAACAGTGAGAAGATGGGGAGGGGTGCTGTAAGGATAAGGCTTACCTCATCTGTCATTGTAAGTGCACCCGAGTTCAACCTTATTGCAAACCTTTGCAGGCAGGACATGAATAGGATGTTCTCTATAAAAACACATCCTGCTGGGTAATTCAGCAGGTGGCCACAGCAGCGGACACTACAAGCGCGGATAGCCACTGCAGGGGTACAGTAACAGGGAACGTCCAATCCACTCTTTAGCCTGGGAGAGATGGAATCAAGATTCTTAACTCCCCTTAGCAACGCTGGGAAACCAAGATGTCAGTTCAGATCCATCAAGTTTCTACTTAATCTCACCCACCATTTTTTCTCTCCATTTTCTCTTTTTTTTGTATCTTGCCCTTCTGTGGTGGGGATTAAGGCAAGTGGTAAAACAGTGATTTAATGATCTTTCCATGGCTATGTGCACCACTTAAACCATGAGACAAACAAGCTGAGGCATTCTAAGAATCACCCCCTCTGAAGGCGGCTGCTCAGGAACTGTGAGGCTTTTCATACAGCATTACACTCTGGCTGATCATTTTCCCCACTGTCCTGTGATGTGCTGCACTCTGCTATGGGAAAATCTAAGGCTTTGTGTTTTTTAAAGACCCATTGTAAACAAGAAACTGTTGGATAATTACTTTATGATGCCATTATAATAATGTGGCATGGAAAATTTTACTTAATCATCAATGCAGAAAGAAGCAGTACTGTTATATTAACCACTACTATGCACAACAATTAGAAAATATAAAAACTATTTTTATAGCTGTAGCTGGTTTAAGATGTTTAATCAATTGATAAACAGTTATAAACACACAACCAAATAAACCTCCAAATGATATATGGTTGAAAACTGATAAAAGCTAGTCAGTGGATCTAGAGTTGGTTTGCAAACTAACTCCTATAATTATGATATACAAGTTTGAAAATGAACTCTGAAAATTAACTTTAAGACCATGTAGAAGAGAAGTCCTAAAAATACTATGGATGTAATTATAACAGCTATTGAATTAGAAAAAGCCATGACAACTGAGTAAATGCCTTTTGCTAAAGGAAACACGTTTCTGATTTCATTATACCGACTGATCTCTTACCTGGGATTGCTGGTTGTCTCAGACATATCTCAGTCAAACTCAACAGTCAACTTGAGCACTACTCCTCACTTCCTCTTCATCAATAACGAAGCTGATCAGCAGCAGGGTCTACTTAAGAAAGAAAATATAAATTTTAACACATCTGTTTTTATGCAAGCTTTCTCGCACTTTTTCTTAAACAATAACTACAGAGGCAGACCAGGTCCTGTCACAAGTTTCTAATAATAAAGTTAAATTAATACGAAAAACAATAATTGTCACAGAAATTAATCCAATTAGTCTGCAGTTGGTTACAACTGTCTTAACTGATATATTTAGACATTTTTTGAATCATAAAAGGACAGATATTTTAACCTACAGATGAACTGCTCATTCACTTGTGCTACAGACAATAACCAATAGATGGCACCAAGGGAGAAGAGTATGGACATTAGCGAATTATACTAAATACTGTGTGTATTTATTTTGACCCAACACTGACAACAAAAAGGTGATTTGTTTTATTTCTGTCTGGACCCTAATGAGAATTTGCTTGTGTTACTGCAGATACATCTGCTGCAAACATATGCACAGTGCTAAAATGTAAAATCCTCATTGCTAAAATCTTTATCTGACAATGTGTCACTGCAATGCCACTGAAAGCCACAGGTTCTTTGGCTCTACATTCTGTATATATTAGTTCTGGAGCCAGCTATTACTGCTGTGCTACCTGACTGCCACAGCTGCCGTGACCGCATATGACATAGTTTCAGAGACAGGACAGGGGGGGCAAGAGGAGGGGCTACTGCTTGATTCTGTTTTCATTCTCACTTTGCCTTTAATGGTAAAAAAATTAGAGGGAGAAGTTAGTTAATGCAGCTTTAAGCTCCAAAAATGCTCAGACCTACATTTCCCATAATGCAACTTATTTCACACTCATTACATTCGATGACATCATCAGGATGTCAAATTACACGACACAGTTCACTGTGTGTGTGTGTGCGTGCGTGTGTGTGTGTGTGTGTGTCGGGGGGCACTGAACTGATATAGAGCAGTAATAGTATTCTATAATAGAAGCACAAATATCAGAGGAGAGAGTTTGTGTGTCAGTGTGTAATGGATAATTGAGGTATTAGTGTATGGGCCAGTGTGCAGTAAGTGGGGATGCTGCCTATTTGGATATATTGTGTGAAACCAGCAGGGTCAATGATGGTGATAATGGGAAGGTAAGTATCATATTGGGGTTAAATACTTTTGAGCTGGCCATGAGATTATGGGCACTGTCTAAAATATGGAAGACCCTACAGATAGATGTTTGCTCCCAGTCTTATCAGAAAAGCATCTTGAGTGTTTGTCCTTATTTTTGTTTGATGGGTTTACCAGGACCCCGGCATGATGGTATATCAGTTTTGTACGTAAACGTAGACTGTACCTTTCCCTCTGTCATGTTAGCAGTTTGTTTGGGAAAGTCCAAACACTGAATGTTTGAGTGACATAGAGCTTTAATGAATTTACTGCCCTGTATCTGTCCTAATATAGGATAAGATAAACAGTGCATACCACTGACCCACTGCAGCTGAATTAAAATCACAAAATCATAACAGCAATAGAACATTTGTGTTGCTTCAGTTTAGTTAAGGTTACTTTTAAAACCCCTGGCACAGAAGTTATTACATGGTCAGGTCCCTCTGTACTTAAAAGAATAGTCGGGATGTTGGGATATGTGCTCATTATTATTTCTTGCAGAGAGAGATAGATCAAGAAATTGCTACCATTCATGTTTATATGAAAAATATGAAGATGGAGCCAGAAGATGGTTAGCATAGCCTAGCATAAAGCATCTGCTTTCCAGCACCTCCAAGGCTCAATAAATTAATATATTATAGCTTGCTTGTTTAACCCAGACAAAAGGTGAAGTTTAAAAATATTATGTTGTTTTATGTGGGATAAATTTGGAGAACGTTTTCTTGGCCCAGTGCAGTCACTTCCTGGAGTCTCCATTCAATAGTGTCAAGAAAACTCCAGCTGTTTCCCCCGATTCCAATCTTGACACAAAACTAATACCCTCTCAGTGTCATACTGATCTTCTCATCTAGCGCTCAGCAAGAAGGCAAAACAAGCAATTTCCCTCAGAAATCTAAATATTCCTGTTTTTTGCTAAGGACAGTGTTTTGTACCATAACCACACTGAGGAGCCTTGGGTTTTTAGAGATTTAGCTGTTCCAAGGTTAAGACTGAAAACTAAAAGTGCTGCTTTTTCTTTTGTTGCTCCTCAACCCTAGAGCAGCCTCCTGCAAAGTCTCAGAAAAGCTATAACTGTACACATAGGCAAAAGGCATCTTAAAACCCCCCTGCTTTGGCTTTTGGTTGATTTTAAAACTTTGATTTTTGGATTATACAGTTTATATATGGTCTTCCCTGTCATTTATTTCCTTTTTAATTCTTTACATTTGTTTGCTTGTTTAAAATTCACACTTGGCACTCATGAAAAAATGAGACATTAACTTGCTCTTTAACCCCATCACTAATGCAGATTACACTGAGATATTTGGATTAAATAATGTCTCTGTGAAACAAGCAATACTCCTGTAATAACTGTAAGTTATGATTTCATGGTGTGCTACTTAAGAAGATTTAAGCCCCCATATCTGGGTTACACTTCTCCCTCCCGCAACGCAGATGCCATCTGTGAGAAAGGAGCAGTGTGTGTGTGTGTGTGTGTGTGTGTGTGTGTGTGTGTGTGTCTGTGGGTTTCAAATCAAATGCTGAGTGTCTCTCTTCACTATTAATCCAGGTCACTCCCAGTGAGATGTTGACAGATTAGCTAGGCTCAGAAACAAGTGTGAAAAGCTGAAAAAAGTTAAATAAAAAAAACACAAAAACGCATATCTTATTAGCTGCAAGGCATGAGAACACATGGACGAAGTACAAAGGCTGCAGAGCGAGGTGCAGTTTTGGGCCTAAAGGACATTCTGCAGAAATGACACACTATGCATTTCATTTTAGTGCTGAAGATACTGTCAATTAGTTGACCAGCACAAAATTAATCAAAATATTTGTTACTCTCAGGAAAAATCCCAAACAGTCAGTGTTTACCGTTTTTTCCAAGAGTGATGATTTGCTGTAATGTTTTAGTTTTGAACTTTTACTCAAATAGGTCATTTTAAGATCCAACATTGGGCTGAGTGACATGCATTTTCACTATTTTCTGATAAGACCTAGCGATTAATTGAGAACAGGCCCTAATAAATCACATTTATTGATAATGAAAGTGCCTGTTAGTTGCATTTTTGATTTGATAATTTATTATTAATTATTAGAAACTGCCATATTCATATCCAATTCATAGAAGTCAGACTTACAGTAAAAATAGGACTAATACATCCTGAAATAAAGCGCTGGATGCCAAGCGGCTGGCATGACGACTGTGATTGGATGAGACGAGTAAATCTGCTGAGTAAATCCCCTCATGGCTCAAGCTGAGATTTGGACCAGAGAGATTTGTTTTCCAAGTGAACTCCGCCCTGCACAGACGACAGCACTGTCCGACGCACGACCGCAGCAGGTCAGCGCACACTTTGCTTCATTTGGATAACCGGACTCATCTTTCACTGCTCCTTCCCGGCGCGCTGACGTGAAAAACAAACGCACACTAAATCAACACAGCCAACAAACGGCAGCCCTGTGGTAGGACGGATATAGGCTACAGTTGTGTTTTTTCAGCTTTCTTCAGCTTTCAGTGCTTTTTGCACGTTGTTACTGTACATCTCATGTTTTGTTTACGACTGCTGCAAAACATACCTGCCGTTAGGTGTTGAAGTTTTCTGTCGAGGAAACCAAAACAAGTCTGAGTTTGACAGACGACTGAAGGCAACAAGGCCTCCAGAGCACAGAAGACTGGACTGAGCAGGTGATATCACACAGGGGTGGCAGGTGACAGGAGTGCGGTTTAAATCGTAACGCACTGAATTGTGGGTAAAATGCGTGGGAAATTGCGCGTCATACCGTGAAAGCCTATTGTTTATGGCTTCTGCAAACTGCTTTTCCCCATCTGTGTTTATAAATAAGGATTTAATTAACTTCAATATTACTTGTGTACTGTGACTTACTGGTTACTAAACGTTACGTGTCACAATTTGCAACTTGTTTTACTGTTTATCAGCTTTTGAAAATGATTTTTTTAAATGGCTGAGTTACAGTATCAAGGAAAAATATTTTAAATGAACTTATCCTGGTGATTTGTTGTATCAGTACCATCATATTAAAATTAAAGGTTCATATTTATTATTGATTGTTTATTCTTAATAGTCCTAGGTTGTTCCAAGCGTCTTGAAGAACCTGCTATAGTCCTTTTGTGGGTTTAGGTTTTCAGTATCTTCTAACCCCAGACTGACTCCATGATGGCAAGAGCAGGCCTCTGTGGGGGCCACACCATCAGTTGCAGAACCTCATTTTGTTGTTATACCCTAGCTCCAAACTCCTCCTGTCACTGTCAGTGAAGCAGCTACATGTATAATCAAACATTCAGGTGTTCTCTCTGACTTGTCGCATCCAGTATGACAATCATGGCAGTTATGGTAAGTTGATGTGCTTATCGGCGTGCTGGCTCACCGCTCGCTGTAATTACTGGCTCTCACTGAATCCCATGTTTCAGGTCTGTTTGATAAAGGTGTGTAAAGTGACTTGTAAATTCACATCTTTTGTCTTCACACCTCTTTTATCACAATAAGCTCGTTGAATAAAAGCTGTTGCTGAGCAATTTTTAAAACTTTAAACATGCCCAGTAACATACAATATGTGCACTACTTTGACAGGTGGTGATAAATTGTGACATTCAATAGCCAGTGGCCCAGTATAAAACGGAGCAAATATAACTACATCATAAAAGTTTTATTTTGTTTTTCATGCTCTCCACCACACACTGCACCACTCTTCTAAACTAATTTAATCAAAACAAACAGATAACAGGCACGTTGCATCCAGTTTAGGTAAAAACTATTCATATATTATTAGTGACTATTATTATCTGACACTTGTGAAATTATCAATTTACATAAAGTACAGCAACAGTTACATGCATTAACTTACTATATGATTGATAGGTCAGTGCAACCGTGTGTGATTCCACTGTTGGTGCACTGTGAATAGGGATTAACGTGTTGATAGATCTGTTCTGCCAGTTGTAGTATCCGGTGAGCTGTCAGCGCTGTCTTCTGTGTCCCAGCAGGTGCTGCTCTGGCCAAGATGTGAGGAAAGGTCATGCCTCTGGTCAAGAGAAACACTGATCCTCGGCACCTGAGTCACGGTGCAGTGCCTGATGGAACTGGCAATGAGCTGGAATGTGTAACTAACAACACGCTGTCCGCCATCATCCACCAGCTCAGTAGTCTGAGTAAGATCACAGTTACTGATACATAGCAATGTTTGTATGGCATGTTCAGATGCTCCTTGAACCTGAGATCATTACAGGAGGGAAGCTGCATGACCCGTTTTGCCAGTAACTATCACTGCCTCTGCTGATGTAACATGGATTTAAATCAACCGCAGCAACGACTGAGCAAAATCACCCCAAATTAACATAAAGTTAATTTAAAGTTGTGGAATGGTGTAAAATGAGAGTTGGGCAACCAGCAAAAGAAAGATTTTTTTTTTACTTATTTCATTATTTGTTTAACATGCAGTGTCACCTCGATTAATTTTTCAAATTTATGGTGTAAACACAGTAGCTGATCAGAATGTCCTTGTGGGCTTTTAGATGACATACCGACTTACAACTACTTTGGATTAGGAGAGATTAAAATTTAATTACTGTAATCATTGAAAGGTGATTATCATAAAGCAAGCATATATCCCAGTGTCACTCCATCATTAGACCTTTAGCAAGCCATAGAGCAACATGAATAGCACATTAAAAACAAAGCCATTATCGCTATTAGTTAATGTACATTATGTTCTAACACTGTATTTAGTACTAACATCTATCTATTGTACAGTCTAACCAGCCAATTTGTACAGAAGTGGGTTAAATTATTAGTTTAGTATGGCGACGTGTGTATAAGCATTGTGTGTTTTTGTTGTGTAGGTGTTACTGTTTAACTTTTTCTTCTGGTTTCTTGCTCTGGTTGCAGGTAAACATGCAGAAGATGTTTTTGGGGAGCTTTTTAATGAGGCCAACACCTTTTATGTGCGTGCAAACTCTCTCCAGGACCGTATTGACCGCTTGGCTGCCAAGGTCACCCAGTTGGACTCCGGCGTAGAGGAGGGTTAGTTTGCTGGAAATCATCTGTCTGTTGAGTTAATATCTCATTTTACGCTCTATAATTGATTTCTCACAAGGTTTTATATTGAACATACAACCTCTGCCCTGCTGTTCTGCAGTCTCTCTGCATGACACAAACATGAGGAAGGTATTCAGAAGCTCTGCAGTCCAGGACCAGCAGGTTTTTTCAAAGGGCAGCACACCGAGCTCGGTGGCTGACATGTACAACAGCAGTGACAAGCCTCCTCCCCTCAGCACCCTCACTGCTTACAGGTACTGCATGTGTTGTAAGATGTGCAGCATCTGACACAGTTTTCAGTTCAAACATCTTATTTCATGTGGGAACTTGTTTTTTTTTTATGCAGAGAGGATTCCACTGATGCAATGAAATTCTACTCTGACCTGTCGTACTTTTTTGACTTGTGGAAGAAGAAAATGCTTCAGGACACAGAGGACAAGAGGAAAGAAAGGATGAGGCAAAAGGTGAGAGCACAGTCTACCCTCTGCTTTATTGTTGTGTATATTTAGCAAATGAGGTTTCATTCTCATGTCTTGTTCCTGCTTCCATCTTTTCCAGGAACAGAAGCGGTCCGTGGAAAGCGGCACCCTTCAGCGTGAGGTGAAAAAAGTGAGAATGGCCCAAAACCGCAGACATGAGTGGAACATGATGGCATTCGATAAAGAGCTTCACCCAGACCATCTGCATCCACAGATTCTCCAGCGAGTGGCTTCATCTGCAGGCCCACTCTCCCCAGATGGCAGGTGGGGGCTTTTTTTGTACAGTAGAATATAACAAAGTGGACAGCATTGGAGAAATAGCTGCAGTAGTAACAACTGAGGCACTCAGCTGATTGACCATAATGTTTTGACCTTGCTTTAGCATCAAAGTCATGCACATTACCCATGTGTTCAGAATGAAAAATGTTAGCATATTATGATAAAAACAGCAAAAATGAACATCATCCTAAGACATAAGATGTCCTTATTTTATCAGTCACTCCTTTGTTTAAACATCGAAGAAAGGCAACATTTGAAAATGCATCTTGAAAAGATTGCATAAGTGTACAAAATGTTGCTTTCTGGAAATTTGAGTGGAAATTAGAGCCACAGATTGGGAGGAATAAAATGAACTTTAATACAGGGTTAGACCCTATTTTTATGAAGAGGACCAAGTGACTGGAATGTCAATATTTTTGTTGTGTAAAGCTTCAGTTTTTTTTGTGAATGTGAAAGCATCTGCACGAGCAGCTACGTCTTTGTTTATCCAGGCCTGACCTCCCAGACCTCCCTGTCCCTTCACTGCCTGTCTGTGCTGCTTGTAACTGTGCCAACAGTCATGATTACGAGCCTGGTAACGCACACCCCTGGCCACCTGTGGAGCATGAATACCATAGCATCGATGTTAACTACAAGAGAGTAACCTGCACCGCAGAAGAGCCTCCTGCTGCAGAGCAAATGAACAGTTCAGTATATCTGCCTGCAGATCACAAGTATGTTTCCCATTTTCATTATCAGAGTAAGAATTGCATTTACTATCACTTTTCCAACTAACCCTCTTCCTTTCACTGTAACCAGCTCGGCCCCTCCACCTCCTGCCCCTGGCCCACCCATCCCAGCCTTTGATTTCCCTCTGAGTACACTACCACCAACACCACATAATGGAGTTCTGCATGTAGGGCCAGACTACCCTCTCCCACCTGTGCTTCCTCCAGGATCTTATATGGTCCCTCCTCCACCCCCACCTCTCCCTCCCCCACGCCTGGCAGGAAACAGTGAAGGCAGCAGAGCTGAGAGTAAACCTGTGAGAAATGCAAGAAGTGATTTGTTGTCCGCTATTTGCATGGGTGAGTAACACTAACACAGCACGGTTTTCTACTGGTCAGACAAATGCGGACCTGGTTATCTAAAAGTATCTGCTCTTCTCTATAGTACAATTTAATATAACGCGTGTCTGTCCATTTAGGCATCCAACTAACAAAAATCCAAGAGCAGCAGGAACACCAGAAGAAGCAGGAGCCAGAGGACAACGACGTTGCCACCATTTTGTCACGGCGTATTGCTGTGGAGTACAGTGACTCTGATCAAGACTCTGAGCTGGATGAAAACGAGTGGTCAAACTGACCAAACACAAAATAGCACACTGTACAAGTTCTGCTTTATTGGATCTTCAGTGCAAATGAAGAAGAAATTGTGTGTCACTCACTTCAGTCCATCTAGTGGACTCTACGTGCCGAACCACTGTCCTCTCACTTCATCCTGTATTATTAATACTGTGCTGGCACATTAATGTTTCATAGAGGATACGCATGTTTGCATACTGTTTAAAAAAACAGATTAATTGTGTTATAAATGAATATTTAGTTTTCTTCCACTGATTAAATGTGAACCGTCAACATTATTAGTACTGTGCTTTTCTTGACAAGTCAAGAGGTCTGCTGTGAAAAGGGACTATTACTTACTTACAGCAAACCCTTGAAGGATTTGTGTATTAATGTTTATTTTATAGATTTACACATTCCTGATTATTACCTCAGCTTGTCACATTTCACTGTCCCTCGGCATGTGTATGAACATTCAGAACACAGATTTGTTCTGCCATTAATCATTATTTGTCGTGATGTCTTTGAAAATTTGGGCATGTCATTACATTTTTCAAAACTAGCCAGAAAGCCATGTTGTGATTGTCTCCTTTAATGGCTACTCTATATTACAACCTAAATATCATACTGTATTGTTGTTTGTATTTTATTTCATATGCAGGTGTGCAGAAGCAGATTTGCTTAGTTTTTGTTAAATTATCAAATTTAAATCATTAAAAAATTACAACCGCCAAGACAGTCCCCTGTTATTTGCATTAAGGTAGTTTTGTTTTCCATTTATTCATATTTTTAGCTCATACACCACTAATAACTCACATCTGTTGTGTCGATTGTGTTGTGCTAAAGGTGACAATTATGCTGCCTTTTTACCCACTAAAACAATTGATCACACTGGAGAATGCATGATGAATTAGACAACATATTGATTAAATTTCTTTCTTTCTTTATTGTTTCCTATTTATTCATCATCATGGTCTGTAACTGATGGCTTTCTGAGTGTTTGATTAAATGGGAAATGTTCTGTTTGTCATGCTCTGAGAGGCGGGGAAGCACCTTCCCTGACTGTATTTTCACTGCTAACCCACAACAGAATCCATCCATCCTATTGGACCATTTCAAAAAAGTGTCAGCAGAGGCCTGAGGCATTATCCTGCATGTTGCATAAATAAACCTCACTGTTTAAGTGGACACAGAATTCATGATTACATTCACAGCAGACTCTGCCATGTAACTAAACAGCAGAAACAGTATGTTGGTGTAAAGGAAGGGTGAACAATTTGACCTTTAAGTTTTATGAAACATAGGCATCGTGTTGAAACTCTTCTAAATGAGTAATGTTACTGTATACTTTGCATAGCTTGGCAGTAAAAACAAAAGCCAGGGCTGTTTAAATGAAGCCAAACATTTGAAGTCAATGAGAAGGTTAAAGATAAGGTTCTTTCTCGCTCTCTTTCCTGTGCTCATCTTTCCTGTGCATCAGTTTACCTCATAACACTGTCCAGCTCCACAATGCGGGTCTTGACCTCACTTAGCTCTTGATCAGGTTTCTTCTAAGAGACAAGGTGAAAATGGGTCAGATACACATTTCAGTGAGACTAAAACTACCTAAACTTTGACAAAAGTGACAAATACATTATTGGAACTTTGACAAAAGTGACAAATACATTAGCCTACATCACAGCATTTCATTTAACTTAAAGCAACAGCAGCTTTTACTATCACTCTCCCAGCTACAGACACAAGAATAATACACCACAACAGAAATCGGATGTAATTTTGACCTAAGTAGGCAGTGGAGGAAAGTAACTCAAGAACTGTACATAAATACAGTTTGGAGGTATCTGTACTTTACTTGAATACGGGACCTTTAACTTGTAACAAAGTAGTTTTACACAATTATATTGCTAATTTTACATAAAGAATCTCATTACTTCTTCCACCACTGTGAATGGGTTTGCACCTTTTAGCAAAAGCAATAATAGTAGCAGGAGAGTTTTTTAAAATCAATTTCCTAAAACCTATTACTCCTTCTGAAACTGATCCTAAACGTAGGTCTTTTAAACCAGACTCCTCGTGGTAAATACAAATTTTCCTAATGGAAAACCTGAGATGTCAGTACTGTAGCTCTATGTAAAGACAAAAGATTGTTTTCTTCCCGTGACAGTCCAGTGACTGGCAGGTGATTTGCACTATGAAGCTCCTCCTCAGGCTGCCACATTAAACACAAACCTCAACACCTGCCAGGTCAAGACAAGGTAAGTTGATTTTTACAATAATGGTTGTACAATAGTCGTTAGCTTAACCTGTATTTGTTAGGATGGTGACAGATGCTGCTCATAAATCAGCTTTGCTCTCAAGGTTTTGTGTGTGTAGTAAAGTTATGGAACATCGTGCTGCCATCTGGCTAGTAAACACAGCATATCCTCAGCCTGGGAAGAACTTCAGAAAGACAGTCGCAGCCTCAGCCAAGGAAGCTGAAACTTTAGTGCCCATTCATTTCACTGGCCAGTGGTAGAAGAGGTACTCAGACTGATTATTTAAGTAAAAGTAGCAATACCTCAGTGTACAAATACTTTGTTACAAGTAAAAGTTTTACAATTGAATACCTCAGTAAGTAAAAGTACAAAAGTATTAGCAGAAAATATACTTAAAGTACCAAAAGTATTCATTATGCAAAACAGCACAATTTACACTGATGTACATCATATTATTCAGTTATATTTGCTGATGTATTATTGTGTACATCACAGTTAATGTTGCAGCTGGTAAAGGGGGAGCTAATTAACTACCTTATAATTTGAACTACTGCTGAGTAACTTGTGAATTTTACACCCAGGATCAATAAATCTTGCGATTATACTGTATTTTATTTTATTAACCTCTTTCTGAAAAGTAACTAGTAACTAGTAAATGTACTTTAGTTCTTGCTGTGTGCTACTTTTTTAAAATTTACATCCTGAAAAAAAAGGGGGGGAACTAGGCTGACACATTTTGCTCTTGGGCCTTAGGCTGGTTGTTCAGTGTAAACAGTGTCTGATAATTCCTGCAGGGATTTCTCAGGGCAGAAACTATCAGTATCAAGATGGATACCTCCAAACTGCCTAAGATCAAGGATGAGGAGCGAGAAAGCGCCTTTGGATTTGTACATGGGGTTTCTGGACCAGGTCTGGTTTGTTGTTCTTCTCTTTAAATGGCTAGACTGCATTGTTTAGCATCTCACAGGTCAGAAGTGTCCTTGACAAACTTTCACACTGCTATGACAGTTTCTGTCAGTGGGCAATATGGATAAACCCTTCTAAAAAATAACATTTTTATATTGTGATATTGGTGAATGGTGTGCATTTTCTGGAAAGTCATTCGAGAAACTGTTCACAAGTAAAGGAAAAACAACAACCATATGGTAATATTTTGTCATTTGATCACATTAATGCAAAAAAACATTCAACCCAGTGCAGTGTTAATGCAGTCTGGAGCTTAAACAGAAAACTGATCAGCAACTATTATGATAATTGATTAACTGTGTAAGTCATTTTTTAATCAAAAATATCATAACAAATGCTGGATTCAGCTTCTCAAATTAAAAGATCTGCTGCTTTTAGTCCTCATATGTGAATGTAAACTGAATCTTGTTGTTAGACAAAACAAGCAATTTGAAGATGTCACCTTGAGCTTTAGGAAATGATTGTGAACATTTATCACTGTCTGTCAGTTTATAGACCAAATGTTTCACCACCTGATTATAAAAAAGGAATAGTAATTAAAACAATCGTTTTTTGCAACACAGCCTAGAATGGCCCATTGTTGCAGATACAGTATATTAGAAGGATAACTACGTATCATGGTATAAGCTATATTTAAAAATCTTAACAGTCCATAAAGTTATAACTGTTAAGTTTATATACTATTATACTGTCCAACCTTAAGTGGTTTAACTCCCTCTCTTTTTTTAACCGCTTCAATCAACAGTGGTGATAGCTAATGCGATGGCAGGAGCAGCCATGTACGAGCTGGTCCGTGTAGGTCACAGTGAACTGGTGGGAGAAATCATCCGTTTAGAGGGTGAACTGGCAACTATTCAGGTCTACGAGGAGACTTGTATCCTTTCTGCTGCCAAATTACCTTCTTCTGTACTTAAACATGTAACAAGCCATGAATTTGTTGCTGGCAGTTTGTTTGGTTTTCCCAAACTTTATGCTACAGCTGGTGTGTCTGTCGGGGACCCGGTCCTTCGAACAGGAAAGCCCCTCTCTGTAGAGCTGGGACCAGGAATCATGGGTGCCATCTTTGATGGTATCCAACGTCCACTAAAAGACATTAATGACCTCACTCAAAGTATCTACATCCCAAGAGGAGTGAACATTGGTGCTCTCAGCAGAGACCTCAAATGGGACTTTTCTCCCCGTCAGGGCCTTCGAGTGAGAAACATACATTTTTATTATGATATGGACTTAACGGTGTCTTTCCTCTGAACCTGCTCTAATTTCACATAATCCCCCCCACCCAGGTTGGCAATCATGTGACAGGTGGGGATTTCTATGGCGCCGTGTTCGAAAACTCCTTAATCAAGCACAGTATGATGATTCCACCTCGCAAAAGGGGCACCATCACCTATTTGGCCCCACCTGGACATTATGACATAACTGTGGGTGATGGTCCTGAAGCAAAACACTCTTTTGTTTAATCACAGTTTATTTGAAATTAATTCTTTTTAATTTTGTTGCATTCAGGATGTAGTTCTGGAGCTCGAATTTGAAGGCGTGAAGGAAAAGCTGACCATGATGCAGGTGTGGCCAGTAAGACAAATCCGCCCAGTATCAGAGAAGCTGCCTGCCAATCATCCACTGCTGACTGGTCAGCGAGTTCTGGATGCACTTTTCCCGTGAGCACTCCTCTTTGGGAAAATTTTGAACTTGTGCTTTCCCTCTGTTAAATACAGCCATAAAGTGCATTCAGCTCATGGTAGTGCACTTGTGTAGAGCCCCTCATTTTATGCTATGTGCTCAAATCTATCAGCTGCTTTATGCTTCATGACCTATGTACTGTATAGCTGCGTGCAGGGCGGCACCACTGCCATACCAGGAGCCTTTGGATGCGGAAAGACAGTGATATCGCAAGCGTTGTCCAAGTACTCCAACAGTGACGTCATTATCTATGTCGGCTGTGGAGAGCGTGGAAACGAAATGTCTGAAGTGCTGCGAGATTTCCCTGAGGTTGGTGGGTTCTGCCAAATTAAGCTCAGATGTGCCACATATACTTTTCTGGGACACCTTCTGCTACTACATAATAAGCTAGATAGGTAAAGAGAAGAACAGACTGTCAAATATAGCATCAGTCTTCACAGTGTATAATGTTAATTTTGCTCTTGCCCAATAGCTTACTATGGAAGTCGGTGGCAAAACTGAGAGCATCATGAAGAGAACAGCACTAGTGGCAAATACGTCCAACATGCCTGTGGCTGCAAGAGAGGCTTCCATTTATACAGGTGCCAGCCATTCACATCAGAGGGCCAAAGAGCAGTGAGGAACAGCTTATGGTGTCAGTTTGTTTTGAATCTCACAAGAGCCTGTAGTGGCTGAAAGAAGTGAAGTAGAGGTGCTTTAAAATGTCTAATGTTTGTAGAATTCATTAAATTCTGTTTAATGCATTTGTAAATGTAATATTATTGCTTCTGCAGGGATCACACTGTCTGAATACTTTCGAGATATGGGTCTCAATGTGAGCATGATGGCAGACTCGTCATCTCGATGGGCCGAGGCTCTGAGAGAAATCTCTGGGAGATTGGCTGAAATGCCTGCTGGTACGTTCACTGGTTACACACTTTTCTCTGTTAAGACACAGTCAGGCAGTTGTTGTGAACTGGTTACAGGTGTGTATGCTTGTTGAACTTTGTAGACAGCGGTTATCCTGCTTACCTGGGTTCCAGGCTCGCCTCCTTCTATGAGCGCGCTGGACGTGTGGTGTGCCAGGGAAATCCAGAAAGAGAAGGCAGTGTCAGCATCGTAGCAGCGTGAGTTGACTATAAGCACAGAAATTTACATCAAACAACTGTTGCACACAAACACATAGGTAGTGAAACCAAATCACAGTCGGTGAGTGAATTAGAATTCCATATATTGCACACATGCTTTGACGTGAATATGACTAAACTGATCAAGTTTTTAAAGTCTTTTCCTAGTGAGGATTGATTTGCATTCAAGAACCCTTCACCATCTGGGTTTCAAACTTCTACAAACTTATTGTTGTGGTGTTTTTAACATGAATCAAGAGCAATGGATAGTCAGAAATGGATAGTTTTCAGGCAGTATGCTGAATTATCATTGCTGAAATTTCTCTCTCTGCCTGTTTGGAGCCTAAAATGGGTTTTTCTCTGAACAGTTTTTGTGCAAACTACCGGGCCTTGAAAAGCTCTCGAGATCACATGATAGCTTTACTTGTTTCCACTGAGGCTTTTCTGCGAGAGTAAGAGAAGTACATTATTCATTATTGTGCTGATTTTTCCTGTAATATGGTGAATTGCTTTTAGTGTGTCGCCCCCTGGTGGAGACTTCTCAGATCCTGTCACTTCAGCCACACTGGGAATTGTTCAGGTGAGTACTGGGTGGTGGCTTTTCAGACCTTAATCCTAGCATTTGACTTAAATCATCTTGCAGTCAGTATTTCTTCCTCATGAACTTTTCTATATATGTGTTAGTATTTGTTGTTGTCTTCTCCGTAGGTGTTCTGGGGATTGGACAAGAAGCTGGCTCAAAGAAAGCACTTCCCTTCTGTAAACTGGCTGATTAGCTACAGCAAGTACATGCGAGCTCTGGATGACTATTATGACAAACATTTCCCTGACTTTGTTCCTCTCCGTACAAAAGCAAAGGAGATTTTACAGGAGGAACAGGACCTGGCAGAAATCGTGCAGCTTGTAGGCAAGGTGAGGCAGGTTGACATTATACAACATGGTATAACACAAAGACACTCCACAGTGAAATGCAGAAAATAACTATTACTGCAAAGATATTTATACAACATTCATGTTACCTGATCTCTCTCCCTTTGTTAAATTTGACCTAATAATAATTTCTAATCTAATTTTCATTTCATTCATTTTTAATTTAATTCTTTTATTTTTTTGCACACATTTTTACAGTCACTTAATGTATTTGATGTGACATTTGTTTTATAAAAGAGACATCTGTCAGAGATGTAAAATGAGTAATGTTAATTGTTAGCATTATTTTCAGCAACTCTGAATAAAGTGCACTGATCTTCATAATCTTGTGTTCCCAGGCCTCCCTCGCTGAGGCTGACAAGATCACTCTAGAAGTTGCTAAACTCATTAAGGATGACTTTCTGCAACAGAACAGTTACTCCGCCTACGACAGGTAAAAAAGCAAAAACAAAAACATTACATACTGGGGCCAGACTAAGAGTAGTTCCATCGATCCATCATCCATCCATTATCTATACTGGTTATCCTGAGGAGGGTCGCAGATAGGCTGGAGCCAATCCCAGCTGACACTAGGCGAGGGGCGGGGTCCACCCTGGAAAGGTCGTCGGTCTATCACAGGGCTGACATGTAGACAAACAACTGCACACACTAACACTCATGAGCAATTTAGAGTCGCCAATCAACCTGGGCTGCATGTCTGTGGACTGTGGGAGGAAGCCAGAGCACCTGGAGAGAACCCATTCAGGCACAGGGGGAACAGTAGTTAATCATGAGTGAATATGAAGTGAGATGTCTGTAAAAAAAATGTCTTTATTTGATTATTACATAACCTGTAAACTTCCAACATTCTTATGCCCCTACGTCCAGGTTCTGCCCCTTTTACAAAACAGTTGGCATGCTCTCAAACATGATTTCTTTCTACGAGATGGCCCAACACTCAGTGGAGACAACAGCACAGACTGACAACAAAATCACTTGGGGCATAATCAAGGAACAGATGGGAGACATACTGTACAAGATCAGCTCCATGAAGTTCAAGGTACATGACTGTTACACATGTTTGGGTGAGATCTTGTTGTTTATGTTTGTTAGACATGTTTGCTATTTCATCCCTCAAAAGAAATGATTTCTTCTCTGTTATATTCAATGGCTTCATTAGGACCCTGTTAAGGATGGCGAAGCTAAGATCAAGGCAGACTACACCCAGCTGCTGGAGGAAATACAGAATGCTTTCCGGGCCCTGGAGTGATAAATATCTTACCTCTGCTTTCCAAACTCCAGTGCAGTGCTGCATATTTCAGATTCCCCTGCCTGTTTTATAAAATGTCTGCCTCAGTCGTGGGAGCTCCTTTGTTCGCTTTCCAAACTCCAGTGCAGTGCTGCACTGAACTTGTTATTTATGTCCCTTTATACATTCCATGACCTGGACAAATGAACATTTCATTTTGTTGATTTTTTGACTCATCTTTAAAAACACAGTTCTGGAATCCCTTGAAAATAAGGCAGTGCCTTATTAGCGCATATTGAACATTAGGATCACTGTCAGGTGCTGCACATGCACTCGCTGACTCGCTGCAACTAGGAAACAGGGATCAATACGCAATAATAATGAAATGGAAACATGCACAAAGGGACAGGAGCTCTGTGTTACAATCATTTGGGTTTCAAGCTTTCCTCTACCTATTACCAAGTGTGATGCTGTGAATCATGTACTCGATATGTTAAAAAGGAAATGAACGAGCCTGTTAGTGTTGTGCTGTTACAGATGTCTTATTCATGGTATAGTGTTGTTCTCTGAAATAAATATGAAGAAATGACTAAAGTTCGTTGTATCACTAAGATTTTATTTATCAGGTGCTGCTAAATCGTATTTTGTCTTTGGCTTTTTTAATCCATGGTGAGCAAACTGAAGAAATGTCAGTCAGTAGTATCATTTACACAGTCTCTTTCTTTTACCTTTAAAGCAGCTTAACGTGAGTGAGAAGTGTCTTCTCTGCATCTTCATGAAGGTGGGTAGTCAGTAAAGGGCTCTCACCTCTAGGTGGCGCACACACTTTGCTTGAATCCTGCAGGGCAACTGTTTAAAAAAAAGTCCATTGGAACTAACTACAGATTATTATTTTTAGAGTGGAGGATCTAGCTTAGCTCTGGAAAGTCGCCAGGCATCAGTAGTGGCTAAAACCTGCACCCTCAGAAAGCTGCCTCCTGTTTTTCTGTTACTGTAGACCAGTGACTTGCCTTTTACCTTGTCAGCCACCTGGACTGCACCCTACCATCTGCTCAGGATACCAAAGGCTGCGTTAGGCAAACACAAAGCTATGAAAGCATAAGAAACAATGAACTAGGATTTCTCTGTTACTACAGACAATCACAATTGTCTCTATGCACACATACATCTATGAGTGCACTAAGACCGACGGAAGGTCATTTATAATTGAACATTTTTGCCCTTCCTTCTTCTACCTGACAGTACCTAGTCAATTACGGCTTAGAGCTCCTAAAATAATAATGATTTAACACAAACAAAAATATAGGTGATGCTGACAAACAAGGCCTGGTGAAAAGGAAGAGGAGCAGCCTTTTCAGACAGTTTCCTGTCTTATCTGCTTTGTGCAGTGCAAATCCACCATCTTTCCAGTTTACTGATGTGCGATCTCCAGCATGTACTGTCAGTTCAGTCTGTTGTCCACGTCTCCACAGCATTAATTCCTCCAAAATGGATTAGAGTCAGCATTCCAGGTTCCGGGCTCCATCAAGACTAATGGAAGCATAACCCCCAGGAGCAAGAGCAGCATCTTTTCTCTGCATTGATTTTGTGTATCCAGACTCACAATAGTGCAGACATGAAAAGGTTTCAGTGGTCTCAGAATATACCAGCCTATAGCTTATGCACCTGTCTCTCTTCATCTTATTTGTCAGTTTGTAATAAATGACAGGCAGTGTGTGTATGTGTGTGAAACACAAATTCACAAAATTATATACGGGTTTTCTCATGTGAAAGTGGAGTAGTGCAGGTGCTATCACAGTATGTAAAACATTCATGTCTGCTTTTATATATGGCTCTTTTGTGTGACCATTGCTGAGGTTCACCTCTCATTTGTTGCAAGTAAGCTCACGCTCTTTCCACTTTCCAAGAAACAGAATAACAAGAAGCTTGTTTAATTATTTTAAATTGTAGTCAGTAAAAGTTAATATTGGTCATGTTGTCCCTTGTATCAGCTAACAGATGCTGCGTCTGCTCTCTAAGAATGAATCTGGACCACTTCAGGAAAGCCAGCGTGTCTATTATCAGCTCATCGTCCAGGCACCAGTGTGTTCACTCTGCTGTTATTTCTGATGCACAGCTTTTAAAAAGCAGCCTTTTACCACTATATGGCTTCAGTCACAGAAGCTCCACATTTCTTTCATTTTGCTACCATATGATTTCCATATTATCCACCAACAAAACAAATTAAGTATAATGTTTGGATTTTTATGTTGGAAAACAAGCTCTCTGCTGAAGTGTTCTTGAGCAAGAATCTGAATCCAAGCTCCTGACACCTCAGGGGAGCTGCTTTTCATTTTTTGATACCCTGTGGTCAAATGAAAGATGTTCTTCTCTCTTTTTGCAGTGAGATCAGAGAGAAGAACACCTCCCCACAGAGTTCATTTCTCACATTGCCATTATTACTATCCAGTGCTTTAACAAATGTCATGCAAAAAGTGTAATGTACAAAAACTCTGGCTCCTATTAACAGCAGCACAGCAGCCTACTGGTCACTCACACATATACCCCTCCAGCGTTTTCTGTGTGTAAGCACCAAGGCCAGGCTGCTTGTGGAGGAAATATGATCCCTGGGTGGAGCTGCCCTGTGGATCATCGTTCACTCTCATCTATGAGTGCCTGTCATGTTTCTCATATGCACCCTCGTCCAGCTCAGAGTGGATTATCAGGGCTGCTGTCGCTGCTGTTATCCCCCTGGGGAAGAGGTATGAAAGGCTCCTGGCTCTTTGGCTCCATCACCCCGCTGAGGTAGTGCCTATATTTACCAAGTATTCCAGAATTACAACCTAAAATGGTGATAGAGAATGACTTGTGAGTTATTTAATGGGAAAGTGAACTGGCAGATGCAACACAGTATCAAACCACTTATCAGGAGAAATCCAAGTTGCCTGCTGCTGGGACACTTCCACTGTGGGGAATCCAAGGAATGAACACTATCTCACTGCACTCATATGGTGTGGCCGCAGCACCGCCAGAGCTTAACCGTGGCAATTTCCTTTTGCAACACAAATGACTGATGAAAAACTAGGCTGCTGTTTTCATTTTTTCCCCCTTCAGTCACTCGCTGAAGGAGTTTGGTGATAAGGGATCATCTTCTTCGCTGTTTTCTGAAGCTTATATAACTTTTTGCCTGGAAAGAG